TGAAGAAACCCCTATTTTGGGCACTGCTCCCATGATGACCATTTAAGGAAAATCATGTCACTTACTGTTCTCAAACTTACAGGAAAGAAACATGGGTCTAAAATACAGCTTCAGTAGGCAATGCAGTCTGTTTGGTAAATTATTCTGGCAATTAAACAGTTTTTTGTGAAAATTTAATTTTTCACATATTGGCATTTCCAAGGTGTGACTTCGAACCTCCACGGGCTTGAAGACCCATGCTAGTCACATTTTGTGAAAATCCATGACACTTATATTTTATTATTAAAAATCGATGATCATTATGCTGTTAAGCATTATGTAATGTTGCATCAAAATAGAAGAAAACACAATTTTTGGTGCTGCTGCCTTGATGACCATTATGGGAAAATCATGTTACTTATGACTCAATCTTTCAAAAAAAAGTTGGAAAAGCAGTCTAATTGGCTTCTTTTTCTGGAATTTATACATTTTAGTGAAATATTCATTATTATCTTTTTGGCATATTCATTGTGGGACTCAGAACTCCCATGGACATGAAGCCGAATGGTAATCAAATTTTCTACATGTCCTTGCTATTTATAGTCAATAATCAAAAATTGGTGATAATTATTCTATAAATTATTATGTAATGTTACATCAAAATTGACAAAAATCTTTTTTTACTGCTTCTGCAAACATTATGGAAAGAAAACTGTGTTACTTATTATTATTTTTAACTTACAAGTATGATTTTTAGGATTGGCATGCAGTTCAAATTAGAAAGCCAGCTCAATTGGGTTATCATTTATTATTGAATTTATGCAATTTTGTGTGAAATTTTCATTTTTCTCATTCTGGCTCTTTCTAATTGTAAACTTGAACTTTGATGGACCTGAAGCCTTATGCTTTTACTTTCGTCGGTGTTACCTGTTGTGCATAATTAAAATTTGATGTTGACTGTGCAGTTAAACATATTGTACTATTGCATCAGAATTGGCAGTCTCCTATTTTTGTGCATTATTGTTTTGTGCTTTTCTTAAGCTGTGTCTTATGGGACAAATTTGTGTGGTCAGTCTGTAAATTCCCCTTGGGTATTCACTAGGCTAAGTTTAGTGCTATAAACTCATTTGCCTGATTAAGTGGCCATTAAATGAGATTTCATAAACCACACTTGTTGATATTTCCCTGTAAACTCCCAAAGGTTAAGCTCTCTGCTAGATAACAGTGTCCATAATAAGGAAGCACTGAATAGCAGCTTCATTAGATTATATTTTTGTTTTCTTTTTAATTTTTTCTCCAACACTGGCATTTTTAAGATGTGACTTTCTCATCCACCTGAGGCTCTGCACAATTTCTGTATTTCCACATACGCAGTTGTATTGGTATTCATGTCTTTAAACACTATGTAATATTATTTTATGCACTGTCATCATTTTTCATATATTGGGACTTTCATCATGTGAATTTTAACTCTCATGGTCATGAAACTATAATCTTTTTGAAGGGGTGGATTGAGACCATCTTCTGGGTCTCCTGGTAGACAGTTAGATTTTAAAGTTTATATAAATGGGTATCTATTTTTTTCTGTTGGAAGACCATCAAAATGGAAGATGGATCAATAAAGATACTTTAAAATACTGTCAAAAATATTTCTGGATCTGCTCCTGTTATTGACCATGTTACCTGTTGTGCATGATGAAAAATCAGTGTTGACTGACTGCTATTATAAGCATTATTTATTATTGCATCAAAATTGACAAAATGACCTCTTTTGCATCTTTTTTTTTCTGTTTTTTGTCTGTACATTTGACAGCTTTGCTGCCTTGTAATTACATGAGCTAGGTTCACCAAGATTACAGTTAATTGGAAAGAAAGAGGGGGACGTTGTGGGATGATCCTGCACTTTGTAGATACTCTGTAGATATCTTGGATAATGTTAACAACAATGTACTAAAAAATAGGTGATATATGTCAAAGTATTAAAAAGATGTCACAAAATTAACTCGCGTATATGACTAGCATGCCAAAATCTGGTTCAATTCACTTCCCAACTGAGACGGCTCAGTAGGTAGAAAAATTGTTCGGGTTGTGTCAGATACATGTATTAAAGACGAACGGTAATGAGGAAAAATTGTCAATCTTTCCATTACATAATTGTGAACACTCGAGAGAATTTTCTCTGATTTTTGACATACAGTATCTGTAGAGATAGCACCCCTGCTGTGCTTCTAAAGGAAGAAAGAAAGATTTCTAATAAACTGTGGAGAAAAACGTCTACTCCTTGAGAGAGATCGTAAAAATTATATTACAATTAACGGCCCTATTTCGATCGTTCTGGTTAGAACTTATGTTATGGATATTCAAAGTTATTATGATAATTCAGTTTAATTTGCTGATAATGTTTTTGTTTTTTACTTGTCAAACGTAGAATAAAGACAAATGTTGAGTTTGTTTTGCAAAGTGATGCCGTCGCGTCATGAAAACGCAATATTAAAATGAATTTATTCCCGTGGAACATAGAACTTCAAATCTTGGAAGGAGGACGGGGCTAGTTTTAAAATGGGTCAGTTAAGTACACCGCGTTAACAGGAAACGTCTTAATTATGCGGTTTATATGCTTAAAAACGTACATCTTACAATCCAGCCGACAACCGGACGCGTGGATTATCTTTCATCTTAACGTGCAAATAAATATATAAATGAAATAATAATAATGATAACAACAACAGTGTAATCATAAGTCAGAAAAGGTTTGCCCCCCCTCCAAACCGCCGAATTTACTCGCGCAGAACGATGCTAAACAGTGGCAGATTTAGAGGTGTGGTCAGGGGGGGGGGGGGGGGGGGTCGGCTTCGCGTCCGCGTACCCCACCCTCGTACTTCAAATAATCCTGGATCCGCCCCTGCTAAATACCACTATTTGAAATAAGAGGGACGTCAGCCAAGGGAGCGAAGGACCTCGGTATTTAATGTAGTATCAAATATTTATCGAGCAATTTGGGGCATAAACCGGGCAGTGCTGTGGGTGTAACACTCGGAACTACTCGGATGTCTCCGCAATCGACTGCGGAGTCAGCCGAGGATTGCCGATTGGTGTAATAGTGTAATTAGCTAAAGAAACCAAGACAGGCTGAGCTTTAGGAGGTGCGACATTGCGTCATAATTTTCTCAATTTGGCTAAATTTTTCTTTACAAAGTTGTTTATACTATAAATAAACAAAAGAATACATCGATATACCCAGAAAAGAAAATTTAAATAAGAAAATGTAAATGTCTTTATTTCATACAATCGAAAGACAGCACTTTCCCTTTGTTCGCACTTGAATTGATTTTTCTGTAGCGAAACGATAAGATTTGGAGATTACTGTTCGTTTTAAAGGTTAATTTAAGAAGATCTTGAGCAAGAAAAGACTACCCATAGCACAGCCATTACTGATGCCATGTCTTCGTCAAGGGAAAGTTATAAAAACGCAATTAATGACGATCAAGAATGCGGATCAGATGGAAAGAACGTGACTTTGAACAAAGAAGGTACTTATAATGAATCAGAAGAGGCCACAGATAATGATGGAGAAATGCAACTAGATGCAAGGGATCATAGTGTGAAGGTTGAAAATGGTTGTGGCGATATGAATTCACCTGAATTCAGTAATCATGCTGATACACTGTGCATCAGCATCAAGATTTTTGATGATTCGATTAAGAAAAGATTGAGAAGAAAACCTTTGTGCCTCATCTGTGGTCCACACAAAGGCATCTTAAAAACTGAATACACAAAACTTTCTTCTTATCCTGATGTTGAAAAAGAAATCCGTGGACTGTTGAAAATACTTTCTCCTCCTCGTGAATCAGATGCTTGTTGTGGCAGCTGTCTGGGTGTCATGAAAGATTTTTTGGCAATGAAAAGGAAGATAATAGCCCTCCACGTTGATGCACAGGTAGATCTACCAGACAGTCAAGGCGATGGGGAATCAGGAGAGGATCAGGAAATGAGTGATGGGGAAAATATGTCTTGCAATACCAACAACCAAGATCAAAATAGTGAGGTGCTTATCAAACATGAAATAATTGACATCAGTTTTGGTGAGGACAATGACCATAGCAAAGAAAGGGAAAGCCTAAAAAACCATGAAGGAAATGGTAGGAAAACCCTATATTTGAAACCAAAAGTATACCACTGCTCTTACTGTGAAAGAACATTCAACAGGGCAAATACACATGCATTGCATGAAAGATCCCACACTGGTGAAACAAATTATAAATGTGAATACTGTGAATTGTCATTTACCAGGGCAACTGATCTGAAGGAGCATGGTAGAGTTCATGAGCTGAAATGCTCATATTGTGGAAAATCTTGTTGGGGGCCAAAAGCTCTGAAGAGACATGAGCTAGATTCTCACATTTCAAAGTTGCAACAGAGACCAAAAATATACAAGTGCTCTTACTGTGATAAAATAGTGACAAAGCAAAGTGCACTTACTGTGCATGAAATGATTCACACTGATGATCGTCTCAAATGTAAACATTGTGAAAAATCATTTACAAAAAGGGATGATCTATTGGAGCACGATAAAATCCATGAATTGAAGTGCTCTCATTGTGGTAAATCTTGTTGGGGAACAAAAGCTCTTTCCAGTCATGAAAGGATTCATGCTTGCAACAAAATGGACAGTAGTACAGAAGTACTTAAATGCTCATTTTGTGATAAAACNTTTAACTAATTTAGATATGTTAAGTTGTTCTTTTGACATTTTCTGCATCTTAACAATATTTTTAATTGATTATATCAATATGACGGTGAACCTGTTATTGTGTTTTGTGTAATATAGTGTCAAAAATGGAAATAAACACATATCTTTACAGTTTGTCAGATTCAATCATTCACTATGTTCAGAATCTCTAAATGGAGCAAATTGGGCATTTAGAATTGTTCTATTGATATTTTTCCTATGTCAGCAATTTTCCTAGTTGATCATTTAAAAATGACAGTAAATTGATTATTTTGCTTAATGTAAAAAGGTGGTGTAAAGGGAAATAATCCCATTTCAGTATAGCTATCTCTTGTTTACATTTTGGCATTTTGAAAGTATGAATTTGAACTTCCATGGCCTTGAAGACCTTCCCATATCACATTTTCTGAATATCCATGATACTTTTATTTTTTTATAAAAAAAATTGATGGTCATTATGCTGTTAAGCATTATGTAATGTTACATCAAAATTGAAGACAACCCTATTTTGGGCACTGCCTCCATAGTGACCATTTAAAGAAAAGCATGTCACTTACTCTTCTCAAACTTACAGAAAACTTGCATAGGACTAAAATGTAGCTTCAGTTGGAAAACCTGTTTTATCAAATAACTTTTCTGGAAATTATATAGTTTTTTGTGAGAATTAAAATTTTCACATAAGGACATTTTCAAGATTGGACTTTGAACTTCTATTGGCTTGAAGACCTATTGCTAATCATATTTCCTGAATATCCATGATACTGTTACTTTATTATTAAAAATGATAGTCATTATGCTTTTAAGCATTATGTTATATTGCATGAAAGTTGAAGAAAATCCCATTTTGGACACTGCTCCCAGGATAGCGATTAAGGGTAAACCATGTTACTTATGATACTGAAACCTACAGAAAAGTTTTATAGGTCTGAAGTGCAGCTTGTGTTGGAAAATCAGTGTGATTGTTTTCTGTTTTGGAAGCAATGCAGTTCTTTATATATATATATATATATATATATATATATATATATATATAATTGTTATTATTATTTTTTTATTGAGTTTAAGCAATTTTTTTTGTGAAATTTTCATTTATTCTCATTCTGGCATTTCCAAAGTATGAACTTTAACTCTTATCAGCCTGAAGCCTTAGGGACCTCTTCTAGACCCAGTCACGCTAACTGTGGGTTGATCTATCTCCAAGGGAATTCTCGCTAAATTGCAATCAGTGTAAGTGGCTTAGCTGTCCTACTGAAACTGGCATGCCAGAATCCTAAGCTGCTTAAGCTGAAAGCAATTTAGTGAGAAACCCCTTCGAGTTGGATTGATCCTTGTAGATTGATCTAGGTATGGGAACTCAGTCTAATGCTTGTTACCCATTTTTACTTTCATCCTAATCCACTGTTGCGTAGAATTAAAATTTGATGTTGGCTATGCAGTTCAGCATAATACAGAAGTGCATCAAATAAACAGTATCCTATTTGCTGCTTTTTTATTTTGTTTTTTTTTTTTGTTGTTTTTTTTTGTCTGTACATTTGACAGCTTTGCTGCCTTGTTCACGGTTATACTTTGTGGATTTGTTAAAAAGATTTTCTTTGTTATAAATTTTTATGAAATCCTCTTTTGGAAACGCATTACTCTTATACTGAAATATGTCATCTCTCAAAAAGTCTGTAAGTTTGTAACATTTATTTGCACCAGGTTTCTTCATAGTCCTGACTTTGAAAAGGCACGAAGGCAACAATTTACTGAAGCATTCAGCCAGAGTTGTTCCAAGGTAAGTGTAGATCACTTCAGGTTTACCTTTCTGGCATCTTCTGTTCTCTGTGTGAGCACTTTACCATGAACTTTTGATTTTTTGCCACCTGGGGCACTTTCAGTATTTAAATAAGTAATGTAAAAGAAAAAAAAACAACTTCTATGTATTTACGTAAGTCTGTATGAAGTGATGTTCTTTACAGTGAGTCTCCCTCTCATTTTAGTTTGAATATGTCGAGTTGCCAGGAAATCACTATGCTCATCTTGTATCAGCAGAAGTTGTGGCGCCATCTATATGCCAGTTTTTCTCAGAATATCTGTCGTCTGCTGAGAATCGTTTGGCCTGTTAGGGAACTGATCTTCAAAGGTGACTGATTAATAAATTTCTCATTTATAATGTGATATTAGAGATATCCTGTTCCTTGAAGAAAGAAAATTTTGATTGGTTATGGGTCAAAGTTTCATTTTGTTTCATTTTTGAAATACATGGTAACAAATTTCTTATAATCAAATTTATCAGTTATTGTCAGTCACATTTGAAAGACAGGGTGCGGCAGGAGTGCACGTCCTAGTTACCCAAGTCCACCCGGACACTAAGTCCTGGGAATGCAAGTCCTAGGGCATGCATTGCTAGGAATGGAAGTCCTAGGACATACGTTACTAGGATTCAATGTCCGTAGGACAAAGGCTCCCAAGTAATGCAAGTCCTACGTGTAGTAATGCACGTCCTAATGGGACGTGCATTCCTAACATTTCAGTAACACATGTCCTATGTGGTTTACGCCGAGAAATAACATGATACATATAGAAATACACTAGTTTTACAGATATAATAAACCGTTGCTTTATTTCATTAATATGACATTTTATTTTAATATTTTACGATGTTTTCATTTTCCGATAGGCAGTTTATATACATAATAAAAATCAAAACAAAACAAAACAAAAAAACACGGCTTCCATATTTTTGTTCCATTATATATCATACATGTTTTACTCAACGTAAATCTTTAAGTTGGACGCGTTCACGCAGCCTTTGAGTGTAGTGCCTTCCTCAGTGCATACAATGTAAGCCCCTGTTTTATCTGATATTTTTTTTTTACTATATAAGGCCCCAGCCATGGCATTTCATCTTTCCCTCCTTTTCGATCTTGTCGTCTTAGATTTCTCTTCAGGGCTTTGGTGCCTCCAGGTATTTCCTAAGAATATAATAATAAACTTTTTTATTTAAAGTGGAAATTAAACTCTTAGTAAATTAATCGCAATGAATATTGTGTTTAATTCTTACATGGTTTGAAAACAAATTATTAACTACAGTGAGAGGCAGTAATAAATCTATATTTACATGCTATTTAATGATTTTATTGGGGCTGTACCTTTTGTGTTTTACGACGCGCATCATAATTTTTCTTTTGTCTGTCCTGTGCTTTTTTCCCAACAGACTATCTCATTCTTGTAACTCTTATTCGTCCTCATATTCTTCCTCAGTTGGCTCAACGTGTTGTTGATCATCTTGTCTGTTGATATCAGAGGGAAGATAAGGCTCTCTGGAAACCAAACAATAAGTAATAAGAACAAAATATCACCAAAACATTCATGATAACATTATAAAATTAGAACACAATTATGAACATACAGGACATGAGAGCAACGTGTCATGTTTAGGAACCCAGTGATGACTTAAATTGTGCCGTTATGGTAGTTAATCATAAAGATTCTTTTCATTTGCTGAAGAATTTTTAGTCTTTTTACCTTCTCAGTTCATTAAATGAATGATATATCGCCATTTAAGACCTACACTTTATCTATATTATAAGATAATGTAACGGTGTTGCATTAGCTGAAATTAAAAAAAAAAAACGATCTCATTGGAGTTAAGAAAATTAAGATAGTATTTGAAAAACACGATTTACCCATAGAATGCTGATATATATTTGGGATTTTGACTCCGTCGTTAAGAGTCTTGTTTAAGTGCATGGTATCTTACCTTCCAAACATCAGATCGAAGGGCGAGTATCCAGTGGTGTGGTGTTTCACAGTGTTATAACCAAATGTAACTTGATGTAACTGCTGGTCCCAATCATTTCTTCCTGTCACTTTCATCAGCATGGACTCCAGCTCCTTTATTTCTTCCTGGTTTGTTATAACTTTTCTCCATGATGTTTCAGTTATCATTGAAGAGGTGCCTTCACCCCCTGATTCATCATTGGTTTCAACATTTTGTTTGGGTTTTTTCTGCACTTTATAGAAAAGTTCTCCTCTCTTGAGCTGAAAAAAATTAATTCATAAGTAAAGATTACAGATTTCCGCATACCAAGCATTGAAAAGAGCAATAAACATTTTTCTAAAGCAAATAATATGCGTACTGAAAGTATATATCCTCTAAATTATATTTGCTAGAACATGCTTCCTAATGTCTGTAGGCCGCCGATGTGCATTAGAAGTGACAATGGTTGGACATGCTGTACTGGTAATAGAAGTCCACGGACATGCTGTCCTGGTTGTATAAGTCCGTTGGCATGCTGTCCTGGTAATAAAAGTATCTTTGAGGTATACAAATTAATACTTATAAAGCTTTAAGGTTAATATGAATTTTAAGAAAATGATTTACCTTGTAGTTGTCTTTACTGGCTCTTCTAATTACCCTTTTTTCTTTGAATGAAGCTTCTGGAGGATATTTATTTTCCCTGAGATATGTCAAAATTGTTTGAATATCTGGTTTCTTGCGTCTCTTCGCAGCTACTTCCATGGTTCCAATGGGTGGGACTGTGAAATGCCACGTCTCTTTATATACCCTCCAAAAGACGCGTGTGACCAAACTGACTTGTCAGGAAACTGATTTGAAAAAAATAAATAAATAAATGACCTCGACCTTAACCCAAGGTAAATAAAGCAAAAAATAAATAAAATAAAATAAAATAAATAAAAAAATAAAAAATAAAATAATAAATTAACAAAGTTCTAGGCCTAAATATCAGATGAGGTGGTGGGGGGAGGGGTGTCATATGGTCATCAGTAGGATTCGAACCCTTTGGATGTGGTAGTTGCCTCCATATTGATTACGTTTCGGCCTTGCATGCTGACCTCTACACTGACGAGCTGAAGTTGCAAACCATCCAAGTTTTGTTTTATATATGGTTCACCAGAATAATTTCCATTTACATTTTTTATTTGTATCATTTAATTGTATTACAGCATAAGGATAGGACTTTCAAATGGCCAGACTTGCATTACTGTCATAGGAATAAAAGTCTGCCAGTAATACAAGTCTTACCTACAATAATAATAATAATTATAATAATCTTTATTGGAAAATCGCAACCCGAAGGTTGAAGTTATACAATTATGTAATTTATTTATTTAAATGAAATGAATATTCAAGTCAAGCAAGCCTGGTCATTTTTGCACTGTTGCACTCTGCAGACGGTTTCACCTCCCTAGGGAGGATACTCGCCTGCCATATTAGGCGCTCAGAGCTAATATATCATTTCTACACTGCCTGACCAGGCCCCTGCTTCAACCCCTTAGTGCCAAGCGGGGAGACAGCAGGTACTGTTTCTAAAGGACTGGTATGTCCCCGGCCTGGTTTTGAACCCACGTCCACCCACTCCGGAGGCGTACACTCTAACCACAAGGCCATCCGGTTGGTCAATAAATAGGAGCCAGGAACCGAAGTCCCAGTAGGACTATGTCCTATGGACAATCATTACCAGGAATCTGGAGGACTTGGATTACTGTCACAAGGGGCCCTGTATTCAAATAAAGTGATTTCTATTGTTTATCATGAGAGTGCGTTTTTGTTTCAGTTTTAGGTTTTGGCTAGTAATTAGAGAATATTTTTTGTCATATTTTTCCACATATGCATTTCTCTTTCAGTTCCAGTATTTGGAGTTGCCAGGAGAACACCACCTCCACTTGACGTCTGCTCAGGATGTGGCGCCACCTATATGTCAGTTCTTCAACAGTCCTCTATCATCTGCTGCTCCACACATCAGTTCAAAACTCTAGTCACGTATTACAAATTGGAATCTTGTGCGTGTATGGGTTACTTCAGAGGTTCAAGAAGACAAATTTTAATGAAACAGAATAAATTTAAAATATCTCTGACTCATAAGCATTCAAAGTAAATCAGAATCCATTTTGATAAATCAAGAAGTCTATGCCTTCTGATCCTCTGACATTTCGCCATCAGTATTTTTAAACTTGAAGAGGTTATAACCCCAAGGCTGGTCCTTTGTACAATAAGATAATGGCACTTGAACAGGGGCGGATCCGGAGTTATTTTCTGACAGTCTTCCAAATTATCTTTGTTGATTCATCCTCCATTTTTGACTGTCTTCCGACAGAAAAAATTAGATACCTGTCAATGTAAAATTAAAAATCTGACCGTCTTCTGGAAGACCCAGAAGACGCCCTAAATCCGCCCCTGCTTGTACACTTACACACAATTTGGTGTGTCCATCTCATTGCTTAAAGACCCTGGATATACAAAAGCTTTTGTATGTGTATACATAGGACAACTTGTGTACTGAAATATGCTAGGGTGATACTTGGCTTTCTGTTAAATAAGGACATCTATACTGAACTGTGATCACGTATTTTGTCTCTGCTTAATACTATTTCTTTATCATGATGATGCTGTACATATTTTTAAGGTGCTCGTCTACATTATCATCATTTACAAATGTCATTTTTAATGAACGTCATTTAGTCAGAAAATTCTTTTACTTGAATTTTCTTGTTTTAAATTTAATCACATTACAATGAAAATATAGAATATTTATCTCACATTTTGTTATCATTGGTTTATACTTGACCCTCTTTCTCCCCAACATGGTCACATACGGTAAACATTCACAAATTTCAAACACCTGACTTTTTCTAAGATCTTATTTCTCCTAGATGTATCATTTTTAGTTACAATATATCATTTCTGACGTATCATTATAGTTACAATGTATACCTTTGACAGAACTCAAGTTACTGTAAAAGTTTCAGTTTTTATTGCTACAGCCAGTGACAGTTATAAAATACTGCCCAGCCCGGGAGCCACCGGCTAATACTGTATATACTTGGGCGATGAACTCCGATCCTTTTAATATATATACAGTGTATATGCCACTCCAAAAGTACTAAAACAATTTGATACTGGGTCTAACATGAATATTTCCAGCTCTGCTCTTTTCCATTTTTTACATGGATGAGATACATAAGCAATCCCAAGAGCGATTTGATGGCGATTCTGACTCTTTTAAAAGAGATATGATAAATAATGCTCTTTAATCCAGAAAAGAAATACATATAAATACATAAGCGGTGTGTTATAACTCTTAAGGAGTGTATTTCACATTGTTTTAGTGAACTAATACCATTACAGAAACCAATAACTGATGCTCTGATCAGTTTGATCATGCAAAGAACTTGAACTAGCAGAACTTGAGATATAAAGCTGATGAACAGGGAGATTAACATTTTCTTATGCAAGTTATTTGAATGTTCCGCCTTTTTATACATTTATTAGAAACAGGAAAGAATGTCACAATTCTGGATCTTTGTGTTAAACAAACCATGTACACTATTTGAGCTTATCAGACAAAGCCAGTCTTACTGTGTTTCCACATCACTCTCTTCTTGTGTTGCTTTTGCCTTGCATCTTAACATATATTATTGAGGCAGTGACAGATCATAAGTAATCCTAAATCACTATTCAACTGTGTCAAATCTTCCACACATCTCAAAGCTACACCAAATCCCAAACTTTTTTGACAACTCCCACATTATGCTGTTTCAATCTCATATATAAAGTCACTGCAGCATTTACTGGAGTTTAAAAGTACATTCCAAGTATGTTTAAAAGTTGATAGGTTTCCCACAGTAAGCTGCTAGGTTGGCCTCTCGTAGTGCTTCCGCAACCGTCTGAAAAATCAATTGTGTTAGTTTTAATATGTCTGCATGTTAAAGTTCCTTACGATAGAAAACTCATCACTCCACATTAAAATAAATTTTAAAAATACAAAACTGATTTCGCAATATTGTAAACTTGTAATTCTTGAAATCTTTCCTAGTTGCTTGTAATGAAAAGAGACAAATTAACACAAATGGTAGAAAAAACATTTTCCTTTTCAACTTTGAATAATCATTCAAATGTTGGTCTGAATTTATTTGTACATAATTAAAGAAACATTAAAACACCCAATTTTTCAGATCACTGGAAAAATGATTTTATTATCAGTATGTCTCTGCTCTTTCCATTACTGTTGATTTTCGCGGTTGTGCTTTAAGCTAAGAATGAAAAGGTCTTGCAGTAAATGCTTGATGTCGTACACAAGTGGTGTTATAAATGGCAGTTGACTCTGAATGTGGACAAAACTCAGATGGTTCGTTCCAGGACACCTTGTCTGCCTAGGACTGATAATGTATTTGCATGTGGAAACTTTCAAGTAAACATTTTATTTACTTCTACCTTTTCCAATACTGTTTATTTGATAGGCTAAAAAATCAAGAAGTGTAGTACTTCTAGCTAAACAGACAGGCCAAAAGTGTGTGGAATTTGGTCAGAGCGATCTACAGATGCATGGTGATAATAATTTCCAGGTTCGAAGGTACATGAAACAAAGCTGTTACTTACAGGGTGAGCGTGACAGACCCTGGCGAACATCTTCACAAGATGCTCCATACTCCGTAGCTAACACTGCTTCATTGATTAATTCACCAGCAACCTGAAACAATTTGCTACTACATGTACTAAGTCACAATAATACTCTATTAAAAACTAACTACAAAAGGTTACTTTTACTTTGATAGTGTAAGTGCATCTAAATTTTCAAAGATATATAAGAATTGATCATAATAACAGAAAATCAAATCTTTTAAGTATTAGGCAGATTTAAATGGTCTTTTTTATGTTTTTCCGTGTTTCCAATGTTGTTATAAAGTTTCTTTTTCAATTTTTAGTTATTCTGATACTGACCAATAAAAATATTAAAATTAAATCTGATTTTTACCAATTCAACATAGGTTATATAAAAGGAATTAGTCATCATATTTGTTTGACAATAAATAAATAAGTAGTTAAGAGGGTTATCTAACAAATAAGTATATCAGTATTACCACAAACAACTAAAGCCCAGATTACATTTGCCATACAATGTCTGTTCAGTGCTAGCGTACTGCCAGTAAATCCCTTTTTATGCGGTGTCTGTGCAGAGGCATATGCAGGCCTACCCAACTACCAGACTCAGCACCTAAGGATCCTGAATTAACAGGTATATCGGACCACCCTACCCATTTTCAAGGTGTGTGTCAGATCGCATTTCGGAGTATCATACCCCAAACCAAATTTGTAGCATGACTGCGGGACAAACTTAAACTGTACTCTTACTTTAGAGTACTCTATTTTATTGTCTTTATGGGGATATATGGGGACTTTACGACATTCGGTTTGAATGTTTTAACCACTTTTGATAGGGCTTTTTTGCATTTTTCGTATTAGATTAATGTGGCAGTCTAAGGTTCATCTAGGTGGCTTTCAAATTTATGCACCCTGTTTTAAAATCATATAGTGATTTTAGGACAATCGTTTACTATCCAATCAAGGTGACAGCCGAGCATGCCAGGGCTCATCCTGTCGGTGTTATGGCTGATACTCTGAAATGCGATCTGGAGTGAGCCATGTGGTACAGGTGAGAATTGTTCAGGAGAGATTTGGAAGGGATGCAGCCCACATTTAGACAAGTCCCTCCAAGAGTTGGGTCTTTCTCAACACAGGTGGTCTGAAAGAAAAATGGGGAATGTTTTGTTTTATACTATGTTTAAAGCCTTAAAAAGAGAAAAGCTTATATGCAAGCTTATGTGCTTATATGAAATATATTTTGAAAAAATATATATCTGGACTTAAATGTCTGTCAACAGAAAAGGATGCTGAGCTATGACTATGAAGGTGAAGTGCTCTGTTCACAAAGTATTTCCACATGGCAAAGTCAGATAGTCTTTTAAATGTTTGCTTTTCTAGACTTAGCATTGAAATAATTCTGATGTGTAACTGTATACCTTTACTGTGAATGGCACATCTGGACATCTACTATTGAGCCTAGTCTATGATAACAAAAGTTACACAAGCAAACTCTCATTACAGAAGAACAGGCCATGCACTGTATTTTACCTTCAGGCCCAACTGAGCTGCCTTGATAGCAGCTACATAGCCTCCTGGTCCAGAACCAATCACGACCAGATCTTGTGCTTCTAGAACAGTACATAATAATAATTCAAAATATTTACATAGAGATTTCTAGTTTAAAATAAATGCTTTTATTTGTGATGTATGCTATTAGTGTTTAGTATCACAAATGTCTTAGTAACATAATGTGCCAAAAGCTCTTCAATATTTTGATTGATTTAGCCACCAATGCCTTATAATCTTCTAGTGCAAAACAAAAAACCATGATCAACAAATGATTGGCAGATTTTACTGGTATTGGATGTAAGTACACCAATCAAAAAATTGTTGTATCCTTAAAATTTCTTTTATGAACAAGATCAATATAATATATATTGATATCATCACCCCACCTCCCACACACATACCCACACAACAACTACATCAAACTAAAAAAAATGAATAAATAACGTTACATTACAGTATAATGGAATCTTTACAAACCTCCATTGGAGTAGTGTCTACTCTGGATTACATATGAAGTACATGACCAGGACTTCACAGTCTTGGTCGCCTAAAATAACAACAAACGAATAGAAACTGCTCTGGCAAATCCAGCATCTTCCCCAACCAGTCCATCATAATCATCTCCAGCTCCGTGCATGCCGGATTGGCTGCCTGGGAAAAGAAAAGAAGCCCGTGTTTTCCTGTAATTGATAAGAAAATAACAAAAAGGTCTTTGCTTCACCCTGAGTTTCAGAGGGCTGGAAACTCGCCTCATTGTGCATGCTTTCAGCATGCATGGAAGAGTCTCATTTCTAATGGTATCGAACAATAAATAAAATACAAGTCAGTTTCCAGCCCCCCCCCCCCCCCAATTTTTTAAA